ACACACACACACAAAAAAAAAAAAGAGGAGGGAGAACTTTAGATAATCATTACTGTTGTGGGCATGATCATTTAACTCATGATTTCAACTCTCTATCCATTCACTGCGTCCAACTAAGGAAGGTGTCAAGTTCTAAGGGCAGCCGCTTCGGTTTGGGTTTTTTGCCTCTGAATGTGACTTTGAGTGGAAATACTGACATTTCTACGGCAAACCTAGACAGTAGAAAACCAACTGCTACCTTCAGAAAAGTGTTGCTGAACCGTGATGGTCCTGACTATCAGGGACGTTGCAAAATGAACTGCATTATAGCCTGTGATTGCAGAAAGATTTAACCACACACTGTTTTCAGTTTGTCCACTGTCGATCGTATCTTATACAATATATATATATTGTATATATATATATATACAATATATATATATATATATATATTTCCCTGTCTTTCCCCATCTTCTATTTCCTCTTCTCCTCCTTCCATGCCTTCTTTTTTTTCCACCTCCCCTAGTTTTTATTTTACTGCTGGATTATTATTCTTGTACAGACTGTAAAATGTATTATTTTGTACAACTTTATTGAAAAAAAAATAACTTGTAGAAGATCTTTGTGCCTTGATTATGGCTGTACCTGTGCAATGAGCTAAGATGTAAGTATGTTTGATTGCGCTGTACAGCTTTGTCAAACCTTTCAGCAGCATTCGCTCAAGGTAGGGAAAAATTTATCTGTAGTTTAGGGATTTTTTTTTTCTGGTTTATAAAAGGAGGAAAAAAAATACTGTTTAGTATATTAAAAAAAAAAGTACAAATCGTGCAAACGTAACCACTTTAAAAGTGAGTTCTACAACAAGCGAGCAGATGTTTTAGCATCATGCTTTTTAATTTTTAGCTTTAATTCATTTAAATCTCTATCCAAATGCAAAAACATGGCTTGTTTCTACATAAACCAAATTTTGCTACAAATTATCAATGTTAGTCTTTGTCATTCATAGTATTTTTTTTTTGTGCAAAAAGATAAAAACAGAACAAAAAAAATCTTAAATATTATAGGCACTGCACAGGCCTAGAGGCTGTCTTCATGCTGGGTCTAAGACTTTCCCACCCAACGCTAACTCCTCTTAACAGGCATAATGATAAAATGTACCTTGCCCCTCAATCTGGTCACTGAATTTCAGTTTCAAATGACATTTTACTTCTCTTTTAATAAAGAGATAACTTAAAACATTGTTTTATATATTAACTATATAAGTAGCTTAAAAGTGGAGACGTGTGGATTTTTTTTTCTTAAACTTGAATAATTTATGCAAATTATATGCTTAGGACAACATGTGGTACAGTTTAAAAAAAAGCAAAAATCACTGTAGCAATAAGACAGCATGTAATTTTAGTAACTATTACACTGCTTTATATTTTATACTTAGGTGTTTCATGTCTTTGTGAGCATATTACTTTTTTCATGTGTCTAAACCTACCTGTACAAATTTGTACAAAGTCTAAAATTACAGCTATAATAACACATCTAGAACAGTGTTAGCCTACTTTCCTCAAGCCCACTTCTTGTCCCCTGAAGTAGAGGAACA